AAAAATAAGACGAGAACAGAGAGACACTACCTAAAACTAATAATAACTAACAAACTTTCTTAAGTTACTTCCTTAGCCCTAAAAGAGCTCGCTGGAAGACAGCCCTGCTGTCTAACATCTCTTCCTGTTTACTAAACTGCTCTTCAGCAACTGGAGTCTGCTTTAAGCGCAGCTAGAAGCGACTAAACCGCAGCACAATAGCAGTACTATACAGAGAACACTCTCACTTTAAACAAATTGTACCTAGAACGGCCTCTGGCCAAAGTCTTACATAGTCACTGACTGCAGATAGACTCTAATGGAATAATAATAATAATAATAATAATAGTGTCGCCATCCTTGTCCTTACTATGTCGCTGCTTCCTTGTGTTGGCCAGGGTAGGCTGGAATAAGCGCTTTCTTTGCTTATATCGTTCCTATAGCCTATGGTCGATTCGCGTGGCTAGCTCTATTAGAGCGTGAAGCGTTTCTAGCTTTTCGTGGTGTACAAGACCGTCTTTAACGTTTTCCTTTAGACCTACCTTAAACACAGTTCACAGCGCAGCATTATCCTAATTAATCCTTGCCTATAGCTGTTTAAACTCTGCTGTGTATGCTAAGACTGACTTAGTCTGCTTTAAGCAAGTAATTGCCTTCTCTGCTTAGTTCTTTTCGTTTATTTCCCTAAAGATCTATCCTATTTCCTTCTTAAAGTTGTCCTAGTTTCTAAATATTTCTTAAGTTTCGCTTTTAGTTCCTAGGTTGTCTACGTCCTTTAGGAAGTCCTTAACATAGGGTTCTATCCACTTAGCTGCCCTGCCTTTTATATAGGTACTTATTACAAGGATCTTATCCTAGTCTGTTAGTACTCTATTGTACTTGCAGTACAAGTTAATGTTAGTAAGAAATATCCATAGTTCAGTGTAGGTTCCATCAAACTTCTTAGGTGCCGCTATCTTAGGCTTCATGACGAACTTCTTCTTGTTCAAGGTAGCCATTAGCTAACTCAAGAGCTAATTAATCATATCCTGCATGCTAGCTATCTGCCGCTGCGTGATCGTGGCCTGTCGCCTAAGATTCCGCAACTCTCGTAGGTTTCGTGCGTCTTCGTCCTCATCTTCGTCGTCACTTGGGGTTAGCATCTCGTCGTTGATAGCTGGTCGAGGCACCGGTCTAGGACCCTGTACTAGTCCGCTGGCACTAGCCTAGGATTGAGAGTGATTATAAGACATCTTGAATCTTAATTAGGCGTACTGTTGGTTAATCCTTCTACAAAGACTTAAGGGTGGTTAAAGTGTTAAACAGGGGTTGGCTATACTTCTCTAGTCTTGGTCCAGGTTAGGGCGAGTAGACTAAAGCGGTAGTCTGTGTGATTGTTTGCGAAGTGCTATGTGGAAAAGAGTTATAGGATTTAACCAAAAGAATAAACAATTAATTCTATACTAAGATAGAATAACTAGTATCAATCTGTGTAAGAGATGAACTATTCTAAAGAGTTGACCACAACGAGTGTAATAATGAAATCCAACCCATTCTTATACCCATTGCCTCTGGTCCTGACATCTGTCCCAGCCTTCGGCATCTCTGATGTCGCTGGCATCCCTAGATGTCCTGGCATCCCCTGAGGAACTGGCATCTCCAGATTCCCTGTCTTGGCGAGATGCCAAATCACGTGACCACGCCCCGCGTTGATCATTACCTTCTGACGTGGACGTCCATAGGCTCCTTGCCTTCCATCCGTTGTCAAGGATAGAATCCTTCCTGTTACCTTGTAACATGCGAATTACTTAGTATTCTTAACGTTTAGGGTATTTCTAGCTAAGCTTCTTGTAGTACGGAGGTGCCTCACAAAAGTTTTGTCCTGCCAAGAATAATTTAGCCGAAATCTGGCCGCTCTCCTACACAACGCCTATCTCTCCCCTCTATATACTCATTACCACCTTGTAGCTCAATTATCTTTGGAATATGTATAAGAATACGCTCAATCCAAGCTTGGATCTTAGCTTGTGGGAGATCTCTCCAGCAATTTAGCCAGATTCTAGTTGCCTCCGTTCTTGACTGTGGAGCTCCTTTCTTTGTAGTCTCTCTCTTCATGTAGAACCAGCATGGCTCAATACAGTTACAGTCTGGAGAGTTGCCAGGCCAAAGTAGTCTCTCGACGTTGGATAGACTATAGACAACGTTCTGATACTGGTGGGCGTGCCCAGGTGCCTTATCCTCCATAACTACGGTCTGAGGCCTATCTTGGAGGCACTCTTTGGCGAAAGGAATCAGCTTTGGGATCAGAACGCAGCTCTGATATCTCCACCAGTCTATACCGCCTTTGGACGAACGCACTAGCTTGCCTGTCTGCTCTGTCCATCTCCATTGAGGCTTCCTGCCAGGCTTATTACGTAGTCCTGTCCTTCTCATAGATGTGGACAGCTCCCACTCCTCTCGCTGGAGAGGCTCGAGCTCAGCGTTAAGCTGCTCAATCTTCCGAGCAGCGTCTTTTCTCTCCACGTTTGTCTCTGGCTGATAA